TCCTCATCCTTGTTGAAGAACTCGGGGGCATGGGTGGCATACTCGGCGGTGGTCTCGGCGGTCCACCTGGAAGACTCGGGGGCATGAGCGGCATACTCGGCGGCGGGGGCTGGGCCACCTCGGGCGCTACGGCCCTCGGGCCAGCGGCGGCCGGCACGCCCGCAGGTGCCGACATGGCCATGCGCCGAGCATAAGCCTCGTCGCCCGACTGCGCCATGGCCGCTCGTCGAGCGTAGGCGTCCTCGCCGCTCTGGGCCATGGCCGCCCTTCTCGCATAGGCGTCCTCTCCGCTCTCCTGCTGCGGCGGGGGCGCCGCGCAAACAGTTTCGGCGCTGATGTCAGCTACCTGGCATATGATAGCTGGGACGTACCGTCTCGCCTTGGGGCCGCGTCGCTGCTGTCCGAGTAGTAGCTTGACTCGGACCCTTCCCTCCGTCTCCGCGCAAGACGCTCCTCCCGCACCTTCCGCCGGTAGTGCTGGTACTCTCCCAGATCGTTAGGACGGTTCGGGTCGTACTCCTCGTCCGGGTTGAAGGTGTGCTGCACGCGGCGTTTCTGGCGTCAGCTCTGTAAGATCTGGGGAGCTCACCCTCTTCTTCTTCTTCTTTGGCTGCTCGGGTGCTTCTCCCTTGGCCCGCTTCGCCTTCTCGGCCGCAGCTAGCGTCATGGCCGGCACGACTACGTCGGGCTCACTCGGCGCCGAGACGGACGAGGAAGGTGCTGGCGGGGGCACGATCAGGACGGGAGCAGCTTCGACGACCGGAGCAGCAGTCGAGGAAGACATAAACTGTACCGCTGTTGGGCGTTTCGGTTTCGGTCTCGGGGCAAAGGCGAGCGCTGCGCTCGGCTTGGCCTCCTTCTCCTTCGGTTTTGGCTTGGGTTGTCCACTAGTCGCGCTTGTGGAGGACTCGGCCGCTGCTGGTTTCGGCACTGACGAGGTGCCGCTACTGGGGCTCGCGCTGCCCTCGGCGTTGGCGGCAGACTCGGCCGCAAGCGACTTGGCCTTCTCCGACGTAAACGTGATGCCCGAGAAGAGCGACATGGCCGTCGTGTATCGGCTGGGCTGAGCTGGTGCGATATCAGTGGAGTTTGCGTGTGGACGTGTGGACGTAAACAATTTCGAGCCCGCTTGGGACCACGCGTCATGTTTTAGCCGTGTATGCCGGTTTCAATTTCGTCACTCACCACGCTGCGATCACGTCCCGTCCGTGCGCCAGTCAACCGGCGCCATCAGCCGCAGATCTGGACTTTGTTCTTGCTTCCTCACACTCCACCTCCAGCACACCACCAACATGTAAGCTGCGGCGTGTGCGATGCAGCTGACATCAGGCCTCCGAAAGGCGGGCGTTTCCAGCCGCGCAAGTCGAATGCGTCCACCCCGGCGCCGAATGATGAACCAGTGAGTACTGGTGTACGTTCTTCCTTCCCATTGCCTCAGCTTGCTGGAGATCACGTACAAGCTAACACTCAGCTGCTTGTTGAGAAGCTGAGCTACGCCGACGCTCCTCGGCCATGGAAGAACCCCAACTTTGTCTCCGCTCTCCCGTCCAGGACAGCTTCGGGCGCGACCGCTGCCGGCTTCAAGCGTAATGCGAAGCAGCTCTTGACCCTCGAGCGCGAGCGCATAGGTGGCGGTGACGGGTTCCTGTCGGCTGCACAGACGGCGGCAAAGGCGCGCGGAGAGCCGATTGAGCCCGTCAAGAAGAAGAAGAAGGAGAATCCGATCGGCAAACCGCGGTCCTCGCTCAAGGGTCGCCGGAGCGGCGTCGCTACGCCCATGACGATCGATGACTCGGAGATGAGCGGGACTGCGACGCCGATGGAGGTCGACGAGGACGAGGAGGGGGAGATGCTCGAGGACCGTGGAGAGGTCATCACGTGTAAGTACCGCTGGACGGTCGAGGGACAGCGTCAGCTACAAGGAGACGGAGAAGCTAACTCCAGACCACACACCGACGGCGCCGCCCTCGCTCCTCCCTGCCAAGAAGTACTGCGACATCACTGGTCTGCACGGTCCGTACACGGACCCGCGGACGAAGCTTCGGTACAAGGGCGTCGAGATGTGGAACATTGTGCGCAACCTCGGCCCCGGCGTCGACCAGGCGTATCTCGCTCTGCGCGGCGCCCAGACGTCCCTCAAGTGACTCTCCTCTTCCCTGTACCATCTTACCACCCATTGTATTACTCTCTCTCACACAGCGTAAAGCTCAGCGCCCAGGTACCCAGGAATATGCATGTACTTATGGGTTCTATAGATTTTATCCTGTCCGAATCCCCGTCCCTTCACCGCAGCGCTGCCCGGCGACGGCAGCAGCGTCCATCCATCATGGTGTATCTAGCACTTGAGCAGGCTGGATCAAGTGTTGTGTGTGGGTAATTTTGGCCGAAACAAGCTCGCCTGAAAGCGCCCAGCCCGAGTTCATCGGTCCTTCGCGTCCATGGGGGGACAGTTTACTTCTTGAGCGAGTCAATCTCCTTCTGGACCTTGCTCTCGACCTCGGCCTTGACCTCCTGTCCCTTCTTGGAGAAGGCCTCAGCGCCAGCCGAGGCGGCGTGGAGCGCCTCCTTTCCGGCCTGCTTGAGGTCGTCGCCGGCGGCAGAGAACTTGTCCTGCTTGATGAGCGCGGCGGCGTCCTTGATCTCCTGCGACGCGTCCTTGGCCGCGTCGGCTGCAACGAGCTCGGGGTGCTTCTTCTCCCGTCCGCCAAAGTACCAGTAGTTGATGTAGCGCATCTCCTGCACCGACTGGGCGGCCGCGTTCGTCGCGTGACACGCGAAGAGCAGGTAATTGCGCGGAATCACACGCCACGCGAAGCGCATGAAGATCATCCTGCATGTCAGCTTACCAGCGCGTAATACCTCAGCTGTGTGCAGTCGCTGCTGCCGCGAGAAGCTCGTACTCACGAGTAAACGGCGAGGGTGGGCGACATGACGCCGGAAATGTACTCCTCATCCTTGTTGAAGACGTCGGAGAGCGCGGCAAGGGGAAGACCCCAGTTGGCGACGGGACCCCAGAAGTGAGTACCTGATGTTAGTTACTGTCGGAAGAACTGCAACTCACTAAAGAAGTACTGGCGTCCGGCGGGGGACTTGATCCAGTTCATAAACTGCTGTGCGCTGTCTGTCAGCTGTGCTCTGTTACCGTCTTCCTAGCTGTCGTTGCCGGTGCGCCGGGAGGTGGAGTGGGGTGACAACCCAGCTGGTTGAACGACGTCATGGTCGCGAGTGCGATGCCTGCAGCAGCGAGCACAACAGCAAAGCGAATGTGCTCCCCAACAACAGCATGCGTCTCACCCGCCGTGCCCCACAGAAGCGCGCCCATCGACATTCATTCGAGACACGCCCCCTGACATTTCGCGGTGACAGGCGCCGGACCGTCGAGCCGCCCGGGATGCTCGCACACTTGCTCCCCATAACAGCTTTTCAGTTGAACTCACGTAGAACTGTCATTAGCTCACTACCTTCAAATGGCTAGCAGGTACTCACGCCATGGTGGATGATTCGGAGGCTGGGGAGAGCGGAATGCACGACTCGAGAGTTGACCGTCGCACGCCGGCGGCACCGGCCTGCCCATGGAGGGCGCTGGAGTGGGAAGCGGGGTGCCACATCCGCCGCCGCCCCAAAAGCCCGAGCACCACACCCAGGATGCTGGGCGGTAAGGAGCGGGTAAACCGAGCCCCTGTAGTCACCTGCACTCTTGCTTCTGCATGCTTGAGCCGTACTCACGTACAGCGTGCATTCCGGCGTCCGCAAGAAGCTCGCTGCATTTGCATACCCGCCCGCCCGCCTGCCGCTGGCCGCTTTGCCGCAACGCGTTTGCAACGTGCCAAAAGTTGGAAACTTGGATTGAGTGATCTGAAACTGGGCCAAGTCCGACGCGAAGCCCCGCATGGCGCCCCGATCTCCGATCGAAGGCTGTTCTCCGGTGGAGGTTGAGCGTCTGCGTCCAACCACCCAGGAGGGGGGTAATGCCCGGTAGGAGGTGGTGGTAAAGACTGGATCGCGGCATGCGTCGCTGTGTCAGTGTCTTCCGATGCGTCAGAGCCTCGGTCACAAGCGAAGGTGTTGGTGGAGGTCACATGAGCGGTTGCTGGGAGCGGACCGTCGGTCGGGGTGAGCGGAGGCGTCAGCTACTCGGTACCGCTATCTTATCTGTCGGTGCCAGCGCCAGTGGACTGGACATGATAGAGCAGCTCGAGTGTTGTGTACTGTGTTGTGTACTTTGTGATTGATGTGTGCAGGAGTGGTAGACAGAAGCCCTGGCCAGTGTCCAGGCAGGATCGGGAATCGGGTTCTTAAGCGCCAGGCGTGTTGGCGGTTATATCGCAGACCGATAGCTGCTAGCGATAGTCGATTCATGATGGAAGATAGCAGAGATATCTGCATGAATCTCGAGTTCTGCAGACCCCCTCCCCTGCAGAAAGAGCGCCCGCCTGCGCGCCAGCCTTTGCTGCAGATAGCAAGACAAAAGTAACATGCCGGCCTAATCAGATTAGCATTCTCCGGCAATGACGTTATCAGCATCCGAAGCGAGCCCAGCCGAGCCATCTCCAAGCTCGCACCGTCACATCGCTCACACTACTCATGGCTTTCCGCGCGACAGCCCGTCTCCAGACCCACGCCCGCATCATGACCGACGCCACTGCCGCCAAGCTCAAGGACCTCTCGACGTGCGAGGTGAGTGTGGCCTTGCCGGGTAGGCCGCGGGGCACTGGTCAGCGCCAAACGGCGGAGCAACCTTGGGCCCGAGCGGCATAGTGATAGAACTAATGCCAGATCGCCGACGCGCTCATCAAGCTCGGCGTGCCGCACGGCGGCCTCATCCCCGACCTGAAGATGTACTCGCCCAAGTTCGAGGAGGGCGAGACGCGCATCGCCGGTCCAGCCTTCACCGTTGAAGTGAGGTGTTCGATTGGTATGGTCAACTGACGCCCAGATGGTCCCCGTCTCGCACCCCGACAAGTCGAAGCCGGACCAGCACTTTGTCGACGCCGCACCCTCTGGAAGCGTCATTGTCATGCAGACCCCCCTTGGCGTGAGGAGCGGGTGCTGGGGCGGCCTGATGAGCACGGCGGCGCAGACGAAGGGCGTACAGGGCGCCGTCCTCGATGGCGGCTGCCGCGACCTGAACGAGCACCGCGCGCTCGGTTTCCCCGTCTTCGCCCGCGGGCACTCTGTCCTCGGCCCCGGAACGTTCACGCGTGTGCGCGCCCTCAACGTGCCCCTCACTATCAAGCCTGCCCCGCCCAATGCCGACCCGCCCTTCCCCGAGATCACGGTGAACCCGGGCGACTATGTCGTGGCTGACCTCGACGGCGTCGTCGTCGTTACCCCCGACATGGTCGAGAAGGTCCTCGCCAAGGCTGGGCCGGCACGCGAGGCGGACGAGAAGGTCCGCGAGGACCTGCTCAAGGGCAAGGGCGTGTCGGAGAGCATGCTCAAGCACCGCGGCAAGGCGCCTTAGCTCCGCCCCTTCACGCCCATAAAACGTCTCGAGGACAACTAAGTGATGCAGAAGTAGTGCTAGAAGTACAAGATGAGAATGCGAGCGTGTAGCGAGCTCTGAAACCCCTCGTCTGAACAAAGGAGGAAAAGAGTCGGCGGAGTAAAGGGAAGCGTCTAGGTGTCAAGGTAGTCCGCGATCGTCAAGCTGCGGATCAGCCAAGGCGGAAGGTATGGAGCTCACAGTTCGAGGGCAATGTACGGGTCGATGCGCGGGAAGAAGTCGTCGCGAATCTCGCTTTGCGGCGTGTCGGCGTATTGCGCCTTGAACGCGAGATACTCGATGAGCTTGAGCACAATGATGCCGCGGTATCCGAGCTTGACGCGGTTCTGCGAGGCCTCTTGGAATGCACCTGGGAGTTAGCTAAGAACGTGGCAGCCTCAGCTGTAGCAGCATGTTCCGCACGCCATCTGTGCGGTTGGATGAATGATCGCGCGGGCTGCGTGGGGACAGATCGATATAGGAGGGGACGGCGTGGAGGGGCGGGAGGACAGGAAAGGGAGAAGAAACGCACCCTCTTCATCGAGCATAGCCTTCAGAGTCGAACTCGAGGTCGCGATGTGCCGCGGCACGGAGAAGCAATACCCGTCGTCGGACTCGAGGACCACAAAGTCGTCCCCCATGTTGTCTTGTTGTTGTTGGCTCAAAGGTGACCGCGGTCGCCTCTCGTCATGTAATTTCAAGCGCTGGTTGACGCGACTGGCCAGTTGTACACGGGATCAATAACCGCCAATTACATTTCCCTATTGTCTTCCTGGCTATTGTTCATTAGAAACTCGACTAGTCCGTAAATACTCCCGTTGCCGCTGATCGCAGCCGCTGGACATGTGGTGACATCTTGATGCTCGCTGCAGCGATTCAGAACAAAAACACATCCACGATCACACCGACACCCGCTTCGACTTGGCCGACATGTCGCACAAGACGAAGTCGGACCTTTTGGTCCGCGTGCGGTTCGAGAACCCTCTTCCGCCGCCGCCCTTCCCCGCCAAGTTGTTCAAGGTCTCGACCGAGATTGGTCGTCTCGGCGAGCCCTCGTATCTCGACCAGCTCGCCTCCTCTGCGCCGATCCCCATGCTCGCCGACGCCGAGATGGGCATGCCGCTCGACCTGAATGTGTACCCCGGTGTTTGGGACGGAGACGACAGCGCGCTGAACCCTGTGCCGGATGCGGACCGCGTGCAGGATGCGACGGATGCGCTCCTCCTCACGCCGCTGAATGTCACGAGCAACGCGCCCGCCAAGGCGGACGTCAGCTGGATGCGTAACTCGAGCTACATCCAGCGCCGGAACGGAAACGTGCGCCGCGCAGCGCAGGAGAGGCAGCGGCAGGAGGCCGTCGACCACAGCGAGGCGGCGCAGATCCTGGCTATCGACAAGACGTTCGCCGACGTCCAAGTGCCGGCAAAGGAGATGAAGCATCCGGACCCGAAGAGGCGACACCTGAAGGTCGTCGAGGAGTACGACATTCTCCCCGACGCCGAGGCGTGGAGCAACTCGTACATCCTCGTCAAGTTCCCCGAGCGCCCGAGTGCCGTTACGGCGCTCAACCCCACCGCGACGGCGAGCACGGCGCGTCTCGAGAGCGCCGTCCTGCGCCCGATCGTCGAGGACGACCAGCAGATCATCGAGTACTACCTTCCGCCGGAGGAGGGCGTGGACCGCCTGGCGCACGTCTATGCGACGCCTTTGGACGGCGACGGCGTCGAGCGCCTGAACCAGACCGCCGAGGAGGGCGGGGACGTGGACGCCGTCTTCCCGAACGTCCCCTACGACCGCATCCGGACATACGAGGTCGTCATGCAGGCCGTGCCTGCCAAGGAGGTGCTGCTCACGTTCCAGGAGGAGGAGGCCGAGGACGAGGACGACGACATGTTTGGCGGCGAGGACGAGGACGACGAACCCAAGCGCAAGCGTCGCAAGGGCGTGTACTACAACCCGATCTCGTTCCGCACCCAGCTGCGCAAGACGCGCGTCGCCAAACGCGGGCATGTCGAGACACGTGGAGATAACTGGGACAAGATCCGCATTGGATTCAGGCAGCCGGACGAGGACGAGGTCGACGAACGCAGGGCCAAGGACCGCCAGGTCGACGAGCCGGACTGGGTCGAGGAGAAGCTCGGAGAGCTGCGTGGTGGAGACCCGGGCGCTGAGCAGATGGGGGAGGCCATCAGGGAGGACATCGACGAGTAGACGCGTAGCCTTAGCATCATGCATTTTTGTACACTAGTCACGGACTGATCGCGCGAAAATGTCACCTCACCGAAACGATGTCACGATCTGAGCCCTGCCAACGTTACAGGTCCACCCTCACTCAAGATACCCCGGACGGTCTCAATCTCGCCGCAGCATCAGTGGCAATCGCAGCCTTTGTTGCAGAGGCAACGTCTGTGGCCAAAGGACCAATAAACTGATGCATATGTACGTATTACTAAGGAATGGGGGTATGTCTATCCAGTCATGTCGTGTGTCGTGGTCGACGAGGGGGCAATTAGCCAACTAATACTTCTGATCTTCTTCTCTCTCTTCACTTCCGAGTCGCTGCAGGTTACTAACCGCAGACCGAGCTGAGCGAGGTCTGGTGGTCGGTGGGGTTGCGGGGGATGAAGCCGAGGCGCATGCCGTCCTTGTAGCTCCACTCGGCGGCCTCCTCGGCCTTCCAGGTCCAGAAGGTCCATCCCTCGCCGGTCTGCTCCATGGCCTGAGTGTAAATGTCGAACGACTTGCGGAGGAACTGCTTGTACTCGTTGGAGAAGTTGTCGCCGTTGCCAGACTTGCCGTTGCACGAGCCGACCCACGAGCAGCCATCGTGGTTGCCCTCGTAACGGGCACCCTTGCCGCGGCCGTTCAGGTAGCGAGCACAGTCGGTCGTGGCGAGCGACCACTCGCCGACGAGGAGCCAGAGGTCAGCGCTCCACCAGTCATTACGCTTGTTGCAGATGTCCTGGAGGTGCTGGTCCCAGTTCATGCGGTTCAGGTCGCAGTTGAAAACCTGGTAGTAGTGGTTGTCGACGGCGACGCTCTGGTAGTTGGGCTCGGTCATGTAGTTGTTCCACGAGCTGAGGGGCTGGAAGCCGTCCGAGATGATGAGAAGGAGGCCGCTCTGGTTCGAGTTGCCCCAGGGGAAGCGGGCGGCACCGTAGGCGTCACGCCAGAACTGCCTCAGGACGTTGGCGACCCTGCCATCGAACGCAGCGGGTTCGTTGAGCAGGCAGAGGGCAGTGACGACCTGCCAGTACTGGGGGTCGGCGTACTTCTTCGCAATCTGGCCGAGGACGTTCTTGGTGCGCTCGAGGTTGTTGCCGCTGTCGGGCCAGCCGATGTGACCGTACTGACCCGAGTTGTCGAAGCCGTTCTGCGAGCCAGGAGCGCCGTGCAGATCAATGATGACCTTGAGACCAGTGTTGCGGGCCCAACCAATGGCCCGGTCGAGGTACTCGAGCTGGCCCTGGATGTAGGGCTCGCCACCCGAGACGTCCCAAGCCCAGTAGCCGATGGGGATGCGGACGTGGTTCAGACCGGCAGCCTTGATCTGACGGAAGTCGTCCTCGGTGATCCAAGAGTCCCAGTGGCGCCTGAGGGCAGACTGAGCTGCGCCGCGGTCCTGGTTCTGGCCAAAGGTCCACTCGTCGATGATGCCGTCGTTACCGGTCTGGTCGAACAGCGAAGGGGTGATCCAAGGCTCAATGACGAGCCACTGCATCGGTCAGCACTGCCTGCACACAATGTCGCCGCCATTGTGGACATGAAAATCCACTGTGGCAAAAGCGACCATCAATTGTACTCACACCACCTAGGTTGACACCACGAATCTTCTCGGATCCGTAAGGGAATCCGAGATTGACAGAGATACGTGCCTCAAGATCGGGGTTGTCCTGTTATCGTTAGCACCTGTTTCAACGCACCGGCTAGTGGGCGGAATGATGGAATCGGGAAGCATCAAGGCCGGGGAAGACACTGAAACATCCCGATTTAGAAGACGAGTACGCACCGACCTAGCGTTGTTCTGGGTGAACGGCGCCGCAAGCGCCGAACCACCGAGGAGGGACAGGAGGACGGAGAGCTGGCCGAGCAGCATCTTCGTTCGTCGTTGCAGGGGAGTAGTGTAGGTGGGGCGGGGCAGATAGATGTGTCGAAGGAGTGAGCGAGGTTAGGTGTGGTATGAGCAACAAGCTGATGGGAGAGTGATCAAGACCTGGAGGGAAAGAGACGGAGAGAATGCGCAGCGGCAAGCGTTAAGTACTGATGGACAGTGAGGGATGATGGGAGGGGAATGATGTCGTGTGGAGTCTAGGTCAGATTTAGCTGCGAGCTGTGTGGTCCAGCCGACTCCTGGGACGCCTAGTCCTTGTCCAGGCCAAGACCCAGGATCACTAGCGCGCAGTCGTGGATAGACGCCGAGGCGATTACATTGAGAACTGGCGGCGAGGCGCCGGGAGGCGCGGCAGCGGCAGAAGGGCAGGGCACGCGGGCTACCCATGCATGATGCAGGGCAGAGCGGCACTGGAGGACGAGGAGAGGAGCAGGTGCCAGTGCACCGGTTAGTTACCGGCGCGCTGCATCTCACGAGAACAAGCGCGTGTGGCCGGGTGGCTCCTCCTGATCGATCCAACGACACACCCGACCCTGGTGGATCCACACAGGAACACGCGGTGTTCTGTGCGACCTAGTGCGGGGGGTGCGACGATGCACCACTGCAGGGTGCAAGCATGGCCCAAAGGTGACGGCATAGGCACGGCGCTCCCATTAACTTAAAGTGATGGCAGGTAACGCTGTCCCTCACCTGGTGAGCTAGGCATGCTCTTGGCCGGGGCGAGTGTTCGACTTGGCTTCATTCCCAAGCACAAGGACAAGAACCGGCGGCGGCGACTTTTTCGCTTTTCGGGCGAGACCAGAATGCTGGGAGTGCATGCATGCATGTCGGGCGTGAACGTTGTCAGTGTTCTGGGAATGATCACGCAGCCATCGTGCATGGTCCTGATCGGACAGTGTCAGCCATCATTAATGAATTCAAGCTTGATCGGTTAGTGGTATGCCAAGGTGACTGAGGTCACCACAGGTCACTCTTGTGGGATGTGGGACCCCCGCTCACACCCCTCACGCCGCTCACAAGGACCATGCGGTTGGAATACGACGGCGATGCCCTTAAGACGTTCCGATCAGTGAATTGTCAGGCATGTCAGGCGGAGAGCATAACCCCCGATGTCAGTGTGAGAGTTTTCTCGGCGCTCGGCCGATTCACCCACCATGCACAGGTGGGAATGTCTGCCGCAGGGAGAGTGGCAAGGAGGACTGTTGTCTTCTTCTGGTGCTGTGCCTTCCTTGCCCTCAGGTGCGAAGTGCGGTGCAAGTGTGCGCACAATGAGCCACCGATCTCTAGAAAAAGCAAACGCGTCCTGCCACTTCACAGTTTGCAGACACCGGAGGCACCGCACACAGGCACCGCATCTGGGGCATTGCACTGGGCGTGAAGCATGAAGCAGGCACGAAAGGCAGCAGCGTTCGATGCGACGAGTGTCTTCTCATAATGCAGGGCATACAGGGTGCAGGACTGGGGTTGCGAACGACGGCAACGGCGACTGCACTGGTCCAACCGATGCAAGGGACTTCGGTGCGGTGCTGAACTGCAGAATAGCTCCTGCAGTAGATCTTTCTTTAGAGCACTTCACTCTCATGCGCTACGGGCAAGCTACGATCTCGATCTCGCGCTACGACGACTGCGACCCATTTCCAGCGTCATTCCAGTAGGACCGAGGGCTCGGCTCCTCGCATAGCGTCGCCGTTGGTGCGTCTTGGTCTGTCCGACAGTCCACTGAAGTGTGGGGTACAGGGCCGCCTGGCGCTAGCGAGGGAGTATTGACAGCGAAGAAGGTTCGTTAGCTTCGGCCACTAGTGTGCGTGCGGGGGGAGAGTGCGGGGTCCTCGGGGTGGGTGGAGGACGGCATCCCATCCAACTGACGAGACGGTCATGCCGATCTCGATCGCGAGAGTAATGTACGAGTGGAACGCAGATTGCGCATCACGCCTCACACCTCACACCGAGACATCACGGCCGGAATGCTCGGACGGCCGCCGATAGTCCGGCGACTTTGAGCAAGATAGGCTTTTGCGTTTGCATTCTATGCTCCACTGAATGCGTGGCGAAGCGGGCCGTCGAATGAAGCAGCAAGCTCTGCACAATTGCTCATGATTATTCTTGGCGACTGACGATGGACCCACGAACACCGTCAAGCGGAGTCAGGTCCGATCAGACGCCCATCAGGCATGCCAGTGGAGCGTGTGCAAGGTTGGATGCTGCCATTGCGGGTGCCGGCGAGTGCATTTCTCGTGAGTGGCCATGAGTGGGTGGAAGCATGTCCGACAGGCAGATTAGGCTCGCTTACGTCGTCTACGATTGTCGAAGAACGCGAGAGGAAGCCGTGGCAGGCATGCGGCAAGTGCGCATGCCTGGGCGATAAGTGGGCGGCACGGCATGGGAGAGCAAGAGAGGAGGGTCATCACATGGGGCTGGTTACGAGATGGCCGGGGGTGCACCTGAATTGAGCGCGTGAGAGGCACTGCGAGCGCGGCGTGCGCGGCGTGTCCTCGGCACATTCACCATTCAGATCGCGAACCGTATCAGCCGTCGTGCGTACGCCTCACTCATCCGGTGCAACCCGGTCCGGCGCCGGGCTCTAGTATACCCTCGGCTGAACAGCTGTCTCTCTCGTTCTCAAGCCTCTGAAAGCGGTGGCAAGAGCGATCTCCCACCGCATCGCCGCGCCGCCGTACCAGTGTGCGGACATGAGCGGGGTGGCAATGCGGAAGCGGCGGGGTCACACTGGTCTACGCCGTGGAATCTACTCTCTGTCTGCTGACTTGACACGATCACGCCGCTCACGCTTCGTTGCGGCGTGAGCAACGCGGTGCTCCATCTGTTCTGGCAGCAGTGACGGGCGCCGAGAACATCCTTACAGCCGCGTGCGGCATTTGTCTCGGGTGGGTCTTGTGCCATGCGGTCTCATGTCATGGCTTCTGACACCTGACGGACGTGCGTGCGAGGTACAAGACGTACGTACGTGCATCCATGAGTTCTTTGTCTGTTACAGAATCCATGGATCCATGAAGCCAAGTGGTGCCCAGTGTTGGGAGTGCAGAGCACATGACCTACCTGTTACCGTAAGGTCCGCATGCCATGAGGCTCATGCCCTTCCTCCCCCACTCCTGGGCCACCTGAGGACCTCCTGGGACGGCAAATTCGCCATTCCTGCCGCGTTGCAGCTGCCGTCATTATCTGCGTATCTCCTGTACATCCAGTATCAGCTGCAGACAAGCCCTGAGAGTGTGGTGCACCGGCGACTACAGCATAGGGTGGCCAACCGACGGCGAACTTTGATCCGTCTGATGAGATCACTCCACACCTGCTTACCTCACAACGAAGGGGTACACCACGAAGCAACGAGATCACCGACCTCACCACCGTGCGTCCATGCGTACACAGTGGGTTGTCGCCACCCTATGGTCCTTGCTTGGAGCCGACCGATATCGGAGCTGTGAGAGAGTGTCAAGAGCGGCCAAGGTCACCTGAATGCAGAAGCCAGAGCAGCACCAGGCTCACAGCAGCGAACGTGCATGCGAACGTCTGCCTGACGTCGACAGAGTTCTTAGCGTTCGCTCTTCCTTCCGTCTGATTCGTGCCCACCGTCAACATCCAGCCCTGGGCACCGTGGGACACTGATCTGGGTATTCAGGACAGATGGTCTGGGACTCAGGCGGTGCAGTGGAGTGTTGGCACGCTGCGGACGATGCCACAGATCGCCAGCGAAGTGCACGCAGCTACAAGCAAGCGAGCAAGCGCACATTAAACTTCATGTTTCTCGCGCACTTGCTTTGGACCTTGCTTGGGACCTGATGGGACCTGCCGAATCGAGGAACAGGGGGAACAGGAGGAACAGGAGGTGTGTAGAGGAACCAGACAGTTGCTGGCTGCTTGCAGCCGCCTGGGAATCACCTGGGAAAGTCTCCACGATCTGACTCCACTCCACCGACGCTGCTTTACCCAGCCAGGCCACTGTCAACAACCGAAACCACCAGCAGCTACGTCAATCCTTCCGTAACATCCGAGTTTGAAAGACACTAAGGCCAAATCTTACAGCTTAGTCTGACTTGTTGATTCTCATCGTCTCTGTTCCTCACTGCTCGGCGTCTAGTCAACACCAGTTATTGGTCCCGAGAGCCCGGATCGATACGCAGCGGACTGCGCGATTGCTGCAGCTGCGATCGCAGCGATGGGCGGTGCATCAGTCTAAGGGTGCAGATCTTTCCCGCTTCGGGCTATCTTCACCGCGGACCTGGGCCTTGGAACTGGCGAGCTAGGCAGCTAGAGCGTGTAAACCTGGGAGGACAACGGCTGGTCTGATTCTGGGGTTCTGGAAGCTCGACTTGACGCTGTCAGGCTTAATAGATGTGAAGTGGTCACAGCTGGTGCTCTGTCATGGTGCTCCGTGGTGGTGCTCCGACTCGAGAACCTGTTACGAGAGATGGAGCAACCTCAAACTGAGTGCATTGAGCTTACGAGATGACCTCGAACTCATTTGACGACTTACGAGAAGACTGTAGACCTTATCAGCTACCGACGCTGTTCTGATTGCTCGGACGCCTGTTGATGCTTGTTGACGAAGGCACTGACGAAGTGAGCGAGTCCCAAGGAAGGTCGACAGCAGAGGCAGCTTTCACCCGGCCAGGCATGCATGGGGAAGAACTAGACTCTCAGACAAAGTCGATGTTGCTCAGGAGTCTCATACACAGGCCGACACACACCTGGTCGCGTTGGGACAACGACGACCAACAAGGGCGCAGGGGTACCCTAAAGCCTGGCAGGCAGTAGTTGACAGAAGCATAGCGAGGGCTTCGGATGAGTTCCTAGTCCGATGTTTACGATGACGTCCTCGAACCGAATCGTCGCTTACGAGAACCGACCAGACCTTATCAGCTGCCGATGCGATGTTGACACCCGCTGACGCAGACTGACGAAGCCCCGCCCTCATGTAAGTTTCAGGAGTGCTCGGTGCCCCCGTAGCAAAGCTACATTGTACAATGCATTCCGGCGGCCATGAAGAGATGGGCGCCCAGCGGTGGTATATGCGATAACTATAAGGCGTTATGGTGATGAGACCATGTAAGAGGGTTGTACAAATACGAAGAACTGATGCTGGTAATGAGGTTTGTGTTGTTGGTGGTAGTTGTATGATTTCTAGGTCGTGACAAAAAAGAGTATAGTGATTCGTTAAACTGGCAACGAGGCCCTCGACGGGCTCGGGGTCCTCAGAGTCCTCGATGGGTGCGGAGCCCTCTAAGCGTCCAGTCCCTCCGCCTCGATTCCGAGGCCGCGCACCTCCTGCGGCTGCTTGCTCTCGTTCCACCCCTGCCAGCCGAGCACGAGGAAGGAGCCGACGACGAGCGCGGCGCCCAGCACGCTCAGCCCCGTCACACTGTCGGTGTGTGCCGAGGGAATGAACATGGACCCGATCATTGCGAACGGGATCGTCATGCTGAGGCCGATCGTGACGAGCATCGGTGTCGTCTTCAGCATCGCAAGCACGTAGAGGTAATCCGAGCTCAGCGTGATGAGCATGTTGATGATGCAGATCGTGACCGCCGTCGATGTCGGCGGGAGCTCGAACGTCTCCCAGCCCAGGTAGTGCAGGATCGGGAACACCGGGATGAGGAAGATGATGTTGAACAGGCCGGCGAATCTGTTCTGTCAGCTAAGGTCATGCGAGGATGGAAGCTGCGTGCAATCACACTAAGTCGCAGACGCCGCGAGGCATCCAAACCTTCCGTGTATGAGCCAGACCGCACACTCACCCAAGCAGCAGTTGTGTGTCCGCACGCGACTCGTCGCCGATGCGGACCTTGAGAAGGATGACGTAGACCGAGTAGAAAGCGGCGCTCAGGAGCGAGAGACAGTCGCCGAGGATCGGGTGCGTCGGCCTGTTGTCACCGACGACATGGGCGCTCATCGCATCCGACTTGGTCACGAGGACGACTCCAGCGAATCTGTGTTCATGTCAGCTGCTGTTGTAAATGAATCACGCTAGTGTGTAATGGGGGCGTCTCGCGCTTATCTAAACAGCGTGTCGATCACGCCTTTCCGTGTCACGATTACGATCACACCCCTCCACACAAACAGCCGTACTCACGAGGCAAGAGCCGAAAACACCTTGGCACGCGTCACGTCCTCGACGCCAAACGCGCGACCGAGCGTGAGCGTGAAGAAGCTCGTCGTCGAGCTCAGAATCGTCACGCTGCTGACGGAAGCAAGAGCGAGCGCCGCATTCAGCGACCAGTTTGCCAGGAACCAGACCGCGCTCCACCAGGCCGCAATCTCGGCAGTCTCCCGGATAGAGAGCTTCGGCAGCGGCGCAGGCGCATCGTCGACGATCGCGGACAACGTCGTCGAGTCAGGTGACGGTGAGATGGAGCGCACGAGCGTCAGGGGCGAGGCGTCTGCGGGGACCGGCCGATACCTGTGGGGTCAGTTTAAAGAGCCTTGGCGGGCGACGACCCATGCATCAGATGCACTCGACTCACTCATGACTCCGTCTCCGTCCATTCTTCCAGTACCTCCACGCAACGGGGATCAAGTAGACTGCGAAACTCGACGTGTTGAGGTAGGTGATTCTGGGAAAAGCGAGTCAGTACCCGAGTCCGCTCCATCAAAGTCATGAATTAATTTCGCCGCGCGCCGTGAAAAGATAAGGCAGGCGATCGCACGACTCACAAGAATGGTTTCTGCCACTTGTCCTCTCCAGTCTCGAGGTCGTTCGTGATGAAGTTGGACGCGGTCCAGAGCTGTGGAATGTCAGAAGGGCTGTGTGGTGGCAAGCGTGACATACGAGGACGACGAGGAGGAGCAGACCGAGGCCGACGACAAAGCGGCGGGCGTTAGTCAGTGCTACTGGCATTTTGGCCAATAGCGGAGTGCTCTCCGTCATTGCACCCGGTCGGCGTGTAGTGGAATGGTGGTGGGTCGGGGAGCGGGGGTCGCGGCCGGAATGGTGGCGAGCTGGAGATAATGAGCGACGCGGAATGGGAGATGGAGGGGATGGAATATCAAGGTGCAAGGTGATGAGACGATCGGGACGAGGTACAGGCTGGTCACGGAGAGGCGCCGCCGGCGACAGTGCTCAAAACCAAGCACCTCATCAAGATTTGCCAAAATCCACTCGCGTGATGCGGAGCCCCCCGCACATCACTCCCCTCCAGTGACGCCTCCACCGCCTCCGTCCATTGTTGTGTCCTGGGTGTGCCCTTCACTAGCCTCGCTGCCGTCCTTCAACGTGCACTCGCTCTTATCTCTGACCCATCCGTCGCCATCGACCTAGGCTTTGCTAGCCTATTACCAATGTTCGCACCCGCCTCGCCATGGGTGTCAAGGACCTCGTGGGCTGGATCTCAAAACACCAGTAAGCGTCACAGATTATACGAATCAGACCGATCGCCTGTCATGCCTGTCACACTAGTCGCTAACCGTCCAGTCCCGAGATCATTACCATCCTTCCCTCGAGGTGGGACACGCCTAGTATACGGGGTAAACGGATAGCCCTGTAAGCTGACGCGCCCCAACTTCCTAAGCTGATAGCAGTGACGCAACGTTGATCACGAACCGCTTCCACATTGCCGATCGGCAGGGAAGGTACAATGGCAAAGCCGCACTTCTCGGATGGCACGGGTGAGCAGCTGCGTTGCTTGAGTGACAGCTGATAACAGACTTCTGGCCGATATGAAGCGCAGCGGTATCCAGCCGATAGCAGTCTGGGACGAACGCGGGGTGCGAGAGTGGAAAGCGCCAGAGGTGAGTCACCCCGCAATCTTTTGGAATAGGCTCGAGCTTCGAGAACCACTGACGAGCTGACATCAGGCCCGCAAACGGCAAGCCAGTCGGGCAAGAGTACTCGCACGCAAGCTTCACGAAGATAGACGTGCGATACGCTTATCGAGACTGCGTGATGAGTTGCAGTACACACATCTGTTCCTTGAGCCAGTGTCGCAAATCTGGGGGAAGACCCTTCTCGCACCGACGCCGCCCATTCTACACGACCAACAACGCAATGCGTTCGCGGCGCCCCTCGACCTCGCCAATGACGATGTTGTCACGAACATCCTCTATGTGTCGTTGTTTGCATCACACACCGCATCTCTGCGGAGGCTGTACGAGGAATGCGTGGACGAGATGACACGTGCGTCCCGAGGATCGCCGGAGGAAGACACCGAAGAACCCGAACCACTTGCTTCCGACGGAGAAGAAGTAGCCTCGGATGCTGTTCCGGCTGTCGAGGAAGCAGAAACAGTCGCTGCTACAGAACAGCAGCCCGTTGCGTCGTCCTCAATTGCCGCCGACATCGAAACGGCCGACGAAGCTGAGGACCGCGCTCTGTCTGCAGCCGAGGACGCAGCAACGGCGACGGAGGAAGATGAATCCGGCGATATCCTCGAGGACGCCGTGATCGAGGACGACAGCCCAGGTGGCGAGCCTGAGACCGCCGATCTCGATGCGACGGACCGACGACTGTTGTCCATCGAGCCATCTACAGAGTATGTCGAGACGCCAAGGCAGGAGGCCCTATCGCTCGATGAGCTGGAACTATACAGCTTGCTCTTCGACTCGGGTGACGCACCAATCAGCCCAGGCGACGCCGTGGATCTGGCTCGCCAGGTGCTCGACAGCATGATCAAGCGAGCGGCGACTGTGCGCGAGACTTATGTCGGCTCACTCAATGTGCCCCAGGAGAAGGACCATGCTGCGTGTCGTGAGCTCTTGCGCGTCATGGGCGTGCCCATCGTCATCGCCAACATTCCATACGAGGCAGAAGGTCTCGCATCAGCCCTCGTTCAGCGAGGGCAGGCCGATTTCGTTGGCAGCGAGGACTCAGACGTCGTGGTCTACGGAGTGAGTTGCCATGACGAGTCCTCCAAACTGATGTCAGGTCCCTCTTCTGCGCAATCTGGCCAACTCGGGCCAACCGCTCTCGCACATCGACTCGGCGGGCCTGCGGACAAAGCTAGGCTGGTCCTTCGAGCGCTTCCTCGACTTCTGCGTGTTGCTGGGCACAGACGCCTCGCCCCGGATCGCGAAAGTCGGTCCCGCGGCCGCCTTCCGCTTCATGCAGGCGTACGACAGCATCGAGGAGATGCTCGAGGGCGAGCCCGAGGTCGCGGACCGCGTCGAGACGGGAACGTATCTCCCCATGGTCTTCAATGCGCGCACGCTGTTCACGGACCTGCCGCCCGAGGAAGATGTGACGGCAGGACCGCTGACGTACGACGATCTCACGGTCAAGAAGTGGATGTGGAAGCACTGGCGGATCTGGCCGCGCAGCCGGGGCGAGAGCCAGGACGCGGACACGGATACGGACGTGAGGCTCGTCCAGGAGAGACAGAGCGTGCCCATCGAACTGCTCGAAGTTGAGATTGACGAGATCCTTGATCGAGAGCTGTGGGGCCAGCTCGCGCCGCAGGACCCGCCTTCAGCCCCGCCCATGGCGTTTACGGAGGAAGAGCTCGAGTACGAGATCGCGTGCGAGGCACTGCGTTTCGAGAACGTCATGACGTACCACCAACACAACCCCTAGCCCCCCATCTTCATATCTAGCCCCCTGTATCCCTACTTCGCAATGTTGTAACCCAACCCATACCTCCAAGATGTATCACAAAAGCCCGCCAAAGCCCGCTTGTCCTGTTTGCAATACAGTGACTCTCCCCCATGCATAAATGTTTTTATATTGGTCTACTTGAACTCGGGCTGGCAGAAGTCGCCGGGGCCGTACGGGGGAGTCGTGAGCGTCGTGAGGCCGGCCGAGTTCTCCGAGGTATGCCTTCCGGACTGGGGGCCGGCCTTGGGCTTCTCGCCCCTGCCGAGCGCCTCGAGGACCTTGACGGCCGTCTCGGGGGTGAGGTCCTCGTAGTAGTCGTCGTTGATCTGCATCACTGGATGTTAGCTTAAGCGCTGGCACAAGTGCAGCTGTCGACTGGGGGCGACCCGGAGCTGTTTCTCGGACACGGGCAAAGCGAGCCTCGAGCGCGCGCATAGGACAGGTACGCTGCACTGAAGTAGACAGAGGCTGCCAAGAAGCAAATACCCCAATTCGACGGTGGATACTCACTAGGGGCGTTGGAGCAAGCGCCGAGGCACTCGACCTCGATGAAGGTGAACTTGCCGTCGGGGGTGGTGTGGCCAGGGGTGACGCCGAGGTGCTTCTCAATAGCCTCGAGGATCTTGTTCGAGCCGCATCCTCCGAGCTGGCAGGGGGTGGTGGTGCAGAGCTGGACAAAGTTGGGCGCAACGGGCTCACGGTTGTACATGGTGTAGAACGAGGCGACCTGGGCGTCAGCTTAATCTTCACCAGATAGCTTCTCCATTCCATTCGCGAACACAAGTCGATTGAGCACCGCGGCATGATCCGGCAGAACTGAAAGGGCGGAGTAGCATGACGAGAGCCAAACTCACCTCGTAAACACGCATAGGGGGCATCTCGAGGGTACGCGCGACCTCGTTCATGGCCGAGAGCGAGACCCAGCCGCCGTTCTGGCGCTGCGCAATGTCGAGCACGGGCATGACCGCAGCCTTCTTGTACTGGGGAGGGTAGCGGGCGACGACCGTCTTGATCTGCTCGAGGCTCTCCGGCGTCCACTCGAAGCGGATCGAGGCGTTGTTGTGCTTCGAGTCCTGGTGCTGTGGTGTTAGCTAGGCCATCCCCGTTACAGAAGCTATTCCCCATCGCCGGAGCCTATAGCGTCGTGATTCGGCATCGGAGTGTCGATTGGGCTCGGCGCGGCGATGGGTTTGTCGGTGTTGCTGGAGCTTGGATACACACCATCATGATGGCGTCTGACCGGACGACGGCCGAGGTCGAGACATTGCGGCGGGTGGCGGCGCGGGCCGCGGAGAAGGCGGAGCGGAGGGCCGACATCGTGTAGTGTTTTAGGAGGGGGTGTGGGACGGACTTGGATCGACGACAACGGCGAAACGAGTTCGAGCGACGAGGAGCAGGCTAGCAGGCAGCACCCAGGCAGTGATATTGCGACGCAGTGGTTGGACGAGCCGCGCCCAGGCGGAACGGAGATATTTTGTTTCCTCGCCGTTTCGTGGCTTTAATCCCACCTTTGCCACGTGGGAGGGAGGAGGACCAATGACGCGGGGCCCAAATCGACAATGATGCATGAGAGTCTCTTCCGGGTCTGGCCAGCGCCGAGCCATCGACTACAGCATCAAGTGACCCATCACCAAGCCACGGTCTTCTGCCATCGCCCATCCCGCAATGGCTACCTTGTTGCGCATCGGAGCAAGGGCTGCCCCGCTCGCCGCGGGCGCCGTGCTCGGCTATGCCGCGTACACCCTGCACAACAGCAAGCAGCAGCTCCTCAACCCTATCCGTCTCGACGACTCGCCCTTCCCGACCCCGACGACTCTTCTCCCGGAAGCGATCCACATCTCGCCCAGCGGAGTTCCCAGTACGATCACGCCGCTTGGCTGGGGAACGAACGAGTACCTCACCCTCCTCCCCACCAGCGACAAGAAGACGCTCAAGAACCCCACGCCCCTGCCTCAGCTTGGCGCAACGGCATTGCGTCATCTGGTCATTCAGGAGAAGTACGGCGCGGCCATTGATGCTCGAGGTGACCTCTGGATGTGGGGAACGGACTATGACCCGTCAGGCGACGTCGGCAAGAGTCTCAGCGGAAGGGTAGGCGTAAGAGTACTGCAACTGTGCTAACCTACCAGGATCTGGCCGAAGTGGCGGCCGCTCCGGGCAAGTTGTTCGCCCTCTCGAAGCGCGGACGGTTGTACGCCGTCTCCGCCGACCGCTCGTTCCAGGAGGGCAACGTCCCGTCCCGCGCGTACTGGAAGCGGCTTGCGTCGCGCGACCCGGGCGTCGACTATGTCGAGCTGCAGCCCAACGTCCGCCTCGGCTGGGGCGAGAAGTGGACGAGCATCTCTGTCGGCTCCAACCACCTGCTCGCGCTCACGAACAAGGGACGTACATTCTCGCTTCCGCTGAACCCGGCCGCGAACTCGCACCGCCAGCTCGGCACCCGCCAAACCTTCCCCGTCCCCGCTACCATGGCCGAGGCCGTCCGTGACGGCCCCACGCTCCCGCCCGCCTCCGACCCGCGCTTCGAGACCAAGCTCACTGAGATCCCCGCCCTCAGCGGTATCCGCATCGCGCAGATTGCCGCTTCTGACCGCTCGTCTTTCGTCCGCACCGCCGACGGCAAAGTGCTCGGCTTTGGCGCCAATGATTATGGCCAGATCGGCCTCGGAAACCGCACCACTGTCGCTACGATCCCCACCCCCGTTGAGATCGCAATCGGCAAGGCGTACCCGGCTGGCACTCGCATCTCGTGCTCGAACGTCTCGGCGGGCGGTGCGACGACATTCTTCACGATCGAGCGCGAGGACGGCAACAAGAAGCTCGTCGACGTCCTCTCGTGCGGTAACGGCCAGAACGGAACGCTCGGAACCGGCATGTGGTCCTCGGCTTGCTACGAGCCCGCCAAAATCAAGACGTGAGTTGGCTGTACGCGCGTTCTACATAACTGACGACAGTCTGAGCGGCCTCCAGGAGTACTCGGAGGCAACGCAGGAACTCGTCCCGCTCCAGATTACGTCCATCTCCGTCTCGCCCTCGATGAACACGCACGCCTTTGCCGTCCTCGACACGCTCCAGTCTGCCGACCCCAAGGGTAAGAAGCAAAACATGTTTGGCAAGGACGTCCTCGTCTGGGGAGGTAACAGTAAGTCTTTCTGGCGGCTAGCTGGCGTTCCCGTAGCTGACCCTCAGTCGACTACCAGCTCGGCACCGGTAAGCGATCCTCGATCGCGACGCCGACGCATCTCCCGAGTCTGATCCCTCACGCTATGGACACGCTCGTCGCCAGTCGAACAGAGCAGATTGACACGAAGGACTCGCCCGGCGGTCTCAAGCAGAAGCCGATCCACTTCACCCGTCTCCAGCTCCACCAGACCAAGGCGGATGCGTATGACCTCAACGGAAAGCTCATCAAGAGAGGCGTCCGCGCGGAGGAGACCATTGTCCCTGGCTACAACTGCTCGGTCTTGTACAACAGAATCATTTGATGCATTTGACGTGTTTCTTGGCGAAGGGCGGAGGGCGCGAGGACGCTGCACGCCCGGCGGTCCAATGACGACAGGTGGCGAACCTCCACCGCGGAAACTAACAAGCGTAAATAACTCAGCCTTAGGTTGGTCTTGCACACTTCGTCATTCTCTCTTTCCCCACAAGAGACCGACCTCGCTACCATGTCGGTCAAAAGGCAGTGGCCGCTCGAGCTCATCACGCTCGTGGCCTCGGACACGAGTCCCAGTGCGCAGGCTGCACTGTGCCGAACGTCCAAGGCGGTCAACGACGCCGTTACGCCCCTCCTTTACCGCAACATCGTCATCACCCGCGCGAACGCCGACAGGCTCTTTCTCGGTCTTCCCCGCAAGGCAAACGCCAAAAACTTCCGCATTACTAAGGCCGAGTTCGACAAGGAGATTGAAGAAATGAGGGAGAAGTTTGCGGATATCTGGGCCCAGGGTGATGATCTCTACCTGGATGGCAGAGGATGGCAATCGTTCGACTATGAGGAGTCGGACCCCGAGACAGACGACGAGCTCATCCCGGACCTGGACACGATCAAGAAGGAAACCGATGCTGTCACTTGGGAACGCAGGAAGGAGCTGTTCAAACACGTCCGAAGGGTTACTTTCGCCCATGTGCCGAGCGAGTCATTCCTCACTGACCTGATGGACCACTTGGGCTTGCCAGAGTGCTTCGACTCCGACGACGAGTTTAACGACGGGGAGGACGAGGAACCGCCAACTCCGCTTTTCCCGTCGCTCACGCATCTGTCTTTCTCCTCGCGCGTGATCCGGTACGTCACCGACTGGGCATCGGTGAACTTCTACCAGTCCGAGACGGTGCATATGATTCCACGTCTAGTTCGCTCGTCGAGATTCGGCCGACCTACGCACGCCTGTATCACGATGCCGAATGGCCGCGACCTTCCCGAGTTCTTCCGGCGTATGATCAAGCGAAACGTCAACAACATCGACGAACAGATCATCAACGATTTTGGCAACGAGCTTATGGAATCCTGGAGTGTCGTGACAAGCGACCCCTCGTCAGCTTTGACCTGCTATCTGCCCCCCAGCATCAAGACCTTCTCTGTTCATGACCTTCGCGATGTCGGTGTCGCCTATGAGTTGCACGCAAGACAGGGTACGACAGACGCTGGTTACGGCGTTCCGATACCGTTCCGCTCAGATTCACCCGTGACGCATAAGGTGTTTTACAACCGCGGTCCGCGCACCAAGACGGATGAGCTCGCACCCGCCATCTCGTGGGCTGTGAACAGAACTAGCTCTAAGTGCAGCTGGGAGTTCATCGGCAAGTTCCCTCTGAAAACGATCGACGAAGTTCGAAAGAAAATCAAGAGTGACGCATACAACGCCAAGCTCACGGCCATCGACGACGGCTACTTCCCGTTCATACCCGAGGATGAGAACCCCGAGGCTGCCGCTGCCGTCGCTAGAGCTAAGCGTGCGCTCGAGGATGCCGGGTTGGCCCTCAGGCAGAGGGAAGTCGCTGCCGCTCAGCAGTATGAGGATACACTCAAGGCGAAGGTGCCCGAACTACCAGCCCGGCAGGCAGAGCTGCAAGCTGCGGCAGCCGAAGCTCGCAGGAAATGGGAGGAAGCGCGCAGTGGGGGAACGCGACAGGAGATGAACGCTCTGCAACAGCAGATGCAACTCGCCGAGAACGCGGCCAAAGGCGTTGGCAAGGCAGGAGCGGAGATTCGCGGCCTCTGGGCCAGGGCTGGGATAAAGGTTCCTCGCGAGCAGTACATCAAGCAGAAGACTACCAATCACAAAGCTACCCGTGACAGAGCCCAGTCACAGCTGTCCACAGAGCAGCTCCGCGCTAGGGAGAGCAGAAAGGAGAATGCTAGGAAGAGGTTTGCTGCCTTGCCGGCCCCCGATCCTACCACGCGCGTCACGTTCCGAGAGTTCGACGAGGCTGAGCCCTGCGCCGTGTGCGGCGGCGGTAATGTCGTCGATCGCGACCTGAACGAGCTCCTCGAGCGTGCATGGAGCTACCGAGTCTAGCGGGAGCATGCAACGACCCGATACAGTGCATGTAATCACCTTTTTTGTCAATAGTCGGCCTCGGTCCCCATTTCCAGTGAGCTCCCTACTACTGACGGCGTCACGGGGTATCCGTGACGTACATGCGTGCCTAGGTGTCAACAACTTATTTGCGGAACTAACTGACCTCCACCGGCCATGTCCACCCCCGACTATAAATACTGACCTCCGGGCGATCTAACGTTCCCCTCCGCTCCATCCCTCACCGCAGCCCCGCAGTGATGAGGAGCGACCGGCCGTTCCCCTTCGAGCTCGTGACCCTCGTCGCGTCATTCGCCTCGCCCGGCACCGTCGCCAATCTGACCCGGCTGTCGAGGGATATCAACCGCGTCTCAGCTGTATCGGCGCCTCGTGATAACGCGCGCCAATGTCGACAAGCTGTTCCTCGGGCTCCCGCGCCGCGCCGAGCTCCACGCCGGCCGAAAGCCCGGATCGAGGCAAGCATTCAAGGAGGAGGCGCGGGCGCTGAGGGACAAGTTTCCAGACATCTTTGATGAGTATGAGGCAGAGGAGCGAGCGATGGGCGCCGGTGGCGAGAATGCGACGGCGAACGGTGCTTCACCCGCCGTCGCCACCCAGCCGCTTGCCGGGAACGCCGCACCACCCGCAGCCGCCGCCGAGGACGATGACGACTCCGACGAGGATTCGGACGCCTCCTTTGTCGCCTCGGACTCGGACTCTGAGGAGGAATTCTTCGAAGACACGGACGACGACATCATGTACGCCGGCGGCGTCGAAGCCTCCCTCGACGCCGAGACGGATGACGAGCTCGCGCCTCCGTTCGCCGAGATCCAGGCCGCCTCCGCCTCGTGCACGTGGGAGCGGCGCCTCGAGCTCTTCAGGCACACCGAGTCTATCACCTTCGTGCAAATCCCGGGGTGGGAGTTCGCCTCGGATCTGGTCTACGCTGTCGAGACGATGGACCCAAACCTGTGTCCCCCCGGCGGGGCCCGAACATACAGGCAGCGCCTGAACCAGGCGGCCGAGCGCTCCCGCCGCGCAGCGTGGGAGTACTGGGACGCCTATGACGGGCCGGTCATCTTCTCCAGCGTTCAGAAGGTTGCCTTCTCCAGTCGCGTCCTGCAGCAGAGGCAGCTGTACCGCCTCCGAGCGGCGTTCGAGTCGCCCGCCTTCATGCAGCCGAGACATGCGTGCCTCACCATCCCCAGTCGGTTCGACGTGGCGGCGCACTTCCGCCGGAGCATCGCCAGGCGCGTAGCACAGGTCACGCGAGAACAAGTGTTGCGTGTGCCAGTGAGCTGGCGCGCGGCCCGAGACGACCCCACCGCGCGGATCCGCCGCATGCTGCCTCCGACACTGGAAAGCTTCACGGTCCACAACCTAAGTCACGGGGGTTATACCCCGACCCCGCCCGTCTGGTCGCAACGCAGGTGGGGAGAGCGCAAGCCCTGCATCCCCATGTGCGGAGGCCTGGGCACGCGGAACAGAATGTTCTACACTCCGACGGTCGAGGAACCTGACCTCGCCGACGCGATCGTGGCAACGCGCATGGGCATACCCCAGGACGAAGCCTTCCCCGAGACAGCGCCGAACCCGCAATCGTGGGAGTTCATTGGCTCCGTGCCACACTCCACCGTGGAGCGGGTTCACGCTCTCCTGGCCCGACCCGAGAATGCGCCAGAGTACGGCGACCTGACGCCGGGCGAATTCGACCCTGGCGATCTGGAGCGCGCGCACGCCGATCTGAATGCAGCAGAAGTAGCCGAAGACGCTGCGACGCGGTATGCCCGCGCCGCCCTCCTAGCGGCAAGGGACGACTACCTCCGCGCCGTGACCGAGTTGGAGCCGGCGATTGGCGCCGCGCTAGCGGGACTGGAGAGTGAGGCGGACCACTGGCGCGAGAAGCGGGAGAAGGCGCTGCGCGACGTGCGCGCGTATAAGGGAAAGAGTGCCGAGCGGCAGAAACAGCTCCTGCAGCGGCATCACGAGGTCGACGCGTATGCGGAGGATGCGCAGCGTGATGCCGAGAGGCTCGACAGCGTCGCTATTGCGGGTATGGCGAGGGGGTTCCGGGCTCAGCACCCCGAGTTGGCTTCTCTGGACACATTTCTCGAGCAGCACGCGCAACTGCTCGCAGCGAGGGAGGCGGAGCGGACGGCGACGGTGAGGAGGGAGGTGTGCCTGGACCGAGTGCAGAGGGCCCAGGCGGCCAGTGCTCGGTATCGGAGAGCCAGGAGGCTCCAGGAGCTCGAGGAGAAGTATGGGAAGAGAGAGGAGGATGTGACCTTTATTAGGGAGGGGAGGGCGGCGCCGTGCGAGGTTTGCGGCGAGAAGAACAAGGTCGATGGCGATCTGCATGAGATCATTGCCAAGGCTCACAATGTTGTATTATAGTTGCCCGATATGCTAGTATCAATGATGCAAGGGTTTGCTCTCGCTTGCTGCTCTCCATTCTCACTGGTTGCTCAAGGGCCTCGTCACGAGGCAACTGTCCGTCAACGCCGTTGGACGGCGTTGCTCGTCGACGTGCCTGCGCATTGCCGACGCCGACTGCCCTCTTGCTCGTGTGCTCGCATTCAACCAGGAACATCGGGAAGAGGAGTACGATCCTGGTACGTCGTCTGCGGAACTCACGCGTACTCCAAGAGATGGGAGGCTATCAAATTCAGCAAGTCAGTCGTGGAGACGAGAGTCTCTGCGAACGCCAAGTATTGTTAAGTGATGCGAGCACGTTACAAGGCTCATGCATACGGCTAAGACAGACCCGTGTCCGTCGTAAGAGTACGACTCGGGCCTCCAACGCCATCCTCAGGCCCGAGCCGACGGCGGTGGTGGCTGCCAGTGCCTGCGGAGCCACTTCGCTCCCGTCTCCGTTCTCCTTTTCTTCCAGCCTCTTCCTCTCCCCTTATCACCCCGCATGCATGGTTGCGATAAGCAGCGGCCTCTCTGTCATTCCTGGCCTTCCGTGCTGCGACAGGCGAAAAGAGCAAAAGAAGACGGCGTAGGTATGTGATGTAATTCCCCGCATACGCCGAAACCCATACCCAGCCAAAAGGCACAGGTACGCGGCGCCGCGGCCGTCCAGCCAGCCAGGCAAGCCAGGCCAGCCAAAATGCTGCAATTCCTCCATCCACGGCGGTCCGACACCGGAGTCCAGACGCTTCGATACGCTGGCCCCGGTGTATGCCCCGCAGCTCTCCAGTATCTGTGCACGCCGAGCAAAGCCCGGAAACCCCGGGGCCCTCGCAGCTGATAGCGGCACCGGCGCATCGATACGTGCACGGAGAGGGCGTCGATGCCAGTGCCGCTATCGATATCTTATCGTCGAGCTTTTTGGTCGCCCACATGCCGCGATGATCCTGCTGTCATTATTTCCGGTTACCTAAACCGTTCTGGAATCGCTGCGCATGGATCGACAGTTTTGGCATGCCGCACCTGCCCATCAGCGGAATGCCTGCATGTACGATGCATGGCATAACTGAGTGCAAGGAGGCAAAGAGAAGAAAGATGAACCTGTTTGACGAGATAATCAAAGGCGAGCAGCCGCACAGCATGCGTTTCGCTGGCTGTTTGTTGCGCCAACGGATCCGTCTTCATCAATGTCTGTGTCAGCATCGTCTCCTCAGCCAACGCCGGTGCGGCCATATGCATTGTCGACGTCCGGTCCGAGCGAAGCGAGCCACAAACGTTCGAGCACATGCTTAGATGTTCCCCAACTGTTTGCTCTGCCGACACTGCGCCCCAAACCGTCCCCAAATGGCACCCAGTCGCCTCAGTCGCCATTAGTCGCAACGCAACGTTGTCAAGCTCTCGATCACAACCCAGCCGAAAGGAGATGAGGGTAATGAAGCATGGACGAAGGGGGTGAGGAATGCAACTTGCACGCGGGTACCTGCTGCGTGCCAATGTCCTCCTGTCCGACGGCTCCGATGCGCTGCCCCGATGCTGTGTCCGAGGGCACAGCGCCCGAGAGGTTTGAACCCGAGAGTCAATGCCCGAGAGAGACCCACCCGAGAGCTACGAGGTGCGACGGGTCGGCCGACCACGAGCCGCGCATTCACATTCATTACGACTGGGCGAAACCCTGTGTGTGTGCCTCGTGAATCGCTTCCAGAGGTGCTCCCTGCTCCGACCCGTCGCTCTTTCTGGCTCGAGCTGACTAAAGCTCCCCCACTCTCCTCCTCCTCTGACCGACGCTATACGACGGACATGCATTCGAAACGTGTGCCGTGCCACGTCTCACCTCTTGCGTCAACACCAATATGGCGTCTCCCGCTATGCCTTCCCTCATCCCTCGGCCAGAACAAGCACACGCGGCGCAGCGGGAGCTAGATATCCGGACCGTAGACCGACAGACCCCGTAGCGTGTGCCGTGCCTCCTGAGGTCCTGGATTTGCATTTGTTCATTACCGCAAAGCATTTGGCATGACGAAGGCTTGCCGAGGTCCACTTGTCTGGTGGAGGGGATAGAGTTGGGTAATCTGATTTAGCGGCGGGGTTTGCTCCGCCGGCCCTGGTTTGCTCAATCGCTGATGCCCCACACCGACCTCGAGCACCCCGCTGCCCCGCGTGATCACGCGCTCGAATGTCACGGTCATCTCGCAATAGCCGCGCTTCCCCAAGCAGCTGAGAAGGTACGCGGTGAATGTAGATCTGCGACAAGTAGTGGGAGATGGCCTGCGGACTGATGAGAAACGGTGGGGCACAGTCGCTCCGGACACGATCGTTGCCGAAAGACATTCAGAACGGAGAGTCAGCCACGCTGGGTGAGACTCCCGTCTGACAACGGATTCAAACCGCGCGTTAGAACGTCGCGCAATGGCGTATAACGTCCAGGGGCTTGCTCGCTGCCTCGCTCGCAGAGCTCTGTGTCATTCTCTTGGCACGACATATGACTGAAGGGTCGCAACAGGGTTTACTGCCGTGCCAATCACAATGGGGCCTGAGTGCGGGGTAGTACCCCTGACACTTTCGAGCAGGTCTTGCGTTGCTACTCGCGGCTCTCGGCCTCCCGCTCCACGAAGCTCTGCAGCACCCCCACAGGCCCCCAGCGTCGCCAGTGCTGAGCCGAATAAGCCGGGATATCGGTCGAGCTCGCGACTATTCGACGCCTTCGGTTGGCTTGCTCTGTGGGTTTTGACTCGCTCCTCGGCGCATTACTTTGACTTTCATTGCACCTTGTCTCGCTCTCTGCGCCAGACTCCTGCATGCTGGTTTCCGTGACCGAACCACGTGAAGCGCCCTGTCAGCAACGCACGGTCCTTGGCTGTTGTGCGTGGTAGAAATAGAAAAAGTCTGTGCTGTGGATGGTGTGAGGTGGGTGACAGGTCGGCAAATGCGGAGCGAGTTTTCCTGGCCCGAGACGCATCGGACCGAGCGATCGGAAGCCCAACAGACTCCCACAACCATGAGGCTGGCTGGGATCTGCACCTCTGCTACTGCGCATGCCCCGTGAAACGCTCTCTCGCTCTGAGGAGTGGGGGCACCGAAGGGCTGCGAGGGCACAGTTGCCGTAAGTGTCTAAGCCTGTTACTCAACACAACTGTCCGCTACCAGTATTACTTCTCGTGGAACCACTGGTCTCTCATCCAAGCTCTGCTCGCCCGTCGGGCGTCGGGACAGAGCTTTTCGAAAACCACCTGATCACGCTGTCCACCGGATCCTGCTACCCTTCTCTACTCGCTTTCGACAGCCGTGTGGCCCTGACGAAAGAGCAGGAGAAATGCCCGACAGACCTGTATTGGTTGCAGAAGGCCCGGCCAGCGACGAGGCGTCAAGGCTGACACTGGTGCAATCAGCTGGAGATCCGGCTGATCCCGTCAGCCAGGTGCTTGCAAGGCACGAGCCCCGCACGCCAGCGGTCTGCACAAGGTTTTGGAGAGTGGGGTGGGTGCAAGGGAGATCGGAGGGCGAAGTGTTTTGGTTTTGGTTTTTTCAGACTTTTTTTACAGAAATGCTTCAGCGTAACAGACGCAGACGATCGGTCTGCTCGATGGCGATGACGTGAGGCGCCCGCCGCCCCGCCTGGCACACAACCAGGTTGGCGGGTCGGCTTTCGCAGGCCTGAGTGCCCGAGTGGAGGTAGGGGCGGAGCAAGGGCCGGAGCGGCGCAGGGGAGAGCAGGCCTTCAGGAAAGCTAGAGCTGCAGGCACAGGACAGGTTGATGGAAGCCGGGCACAACGAGGGCAGCACACGCAAGGAACCTGACGTTGCATTGATTGGCCGCGGTTCGTCCGCCGAGATGCTTTTCAACGACAGAATCGAGGGACGAACGAGGGACAGTGAGGGGACGTGAGGGGCCACATCACCTGGAAGGGCGTCGCGAGATCCCACCGAGCACCAAAGCGGCAAGGGCAGCGGCAGCACAGCACGGCACGACAGGAGAGGAGACAGCGATGAGCAGCGACAGGAACAGCCATGAGCGAGTCAGCCAGCACCCGACAGCGAAGCCAAGGAGCCGCCGGGCAATCACTCAGCGTACATCCACCTACTGCCGCTGAAGCCCTGGACCTGACCGGCCAGCAGCAGTCAGCACCTGGCAGCTGATATGATCCGCTCGTGCCGCTCAGCTGCGACTCAGCCGCAACCCACGACCGCCTTGCCGCCTGGTCTTCACCATATCTGTTATTAGTCGTACTTTGTTCTCGCCCCCCGCGCCCCTCGCCTCTGCACATCACATCACTGCATACTTCTTTGCACGAACTTGACGACGACGCACTCACAGCGACGACGACACGACCAGTGATAACCGGTTATCGCGCCGACACCACCATCTCAACTTTCCTCATCGCACATTTGACTCGGCGCCCCCCGCACTTCCGTGGTCGTATCTTACCTGCGTATCTCGTACCTCGATCAGCCACGAGTCCGACACCGGCTTCGTCGACCTACACCACCACCACTACCACTTGATACATGACGGCCAACAACATGGAGAACGAGGTTCCGAACCCCCCGCCGAAGAAGAGGGGGGCCGTCCGGACCTCTTGCGCTGGTGAGTAGCTTGACCACTTTAGAGCCTTAGAGCCGGCTGGAACAGCCGTCAGCCGCCGCCATAGCGAGCCGAGGCGAGCCGTGCCGAGCACTTGCCGTATCGGCAGCTCAGTCTCAGAGCATGTGCACATCTGGATCGACGCTAACGACACAGAATGCCGACGACTGAAGCTGAGGTGCAACAGGCAGGGTGAGTTCTCCCGATGCAGAGACAGCAGTGCTAGTGCTGCGCGATCTGCGCTTGGCACATGACTATCTGTCCGATTTCCGAGTCCGAGCCCGTTAGCTAACCGCCGCAGTGCCATGCACGAACTGCGTCCGTGTTGGTATGGGCGACCGGTGCCCGAATGGCACACGTCGGCCAAAGTACGCTCTGTAAGCATCCCTTGATCTAGCAGCGGGCGTAAGCTGACGGGCAGGATCTCATCTCAGCCGACTGAACAGCTGCAGGCCCGAATCCGGCAGCTGGAGGGTGCTCTGCGAAACCATGGCATTGCTCTTCCGCGCGACCCCGACGCTGACGACTCGGGCTCAGACCTCGGCTCGTCCGCGAGTGCGACAAGCGCCACGGCGTCCTCGGCGAGCGGAAGCTCACACTCGCACTCACACTCCTGGCTCGGGGGCGTGCACCACGGGCACGGCCACCTCCTGACGGCGCAGAACCTCTCGGCGCAGAACCACTCCCAGCTTGGCGGAACCACGGGCGGGCTCGACGCGCTCGCCATCTCCGACGTGCCGATGAACATGCCGCTGCACATGGAGTACACGCCCCCGGGCAGCCTCCCTACCTCTCTCGAGCAGGAGATGAACGGCGGCTTCCCTGTCGGCGACGAATGGTTCTCCGTCCTCCAGCACCGTGTCCGTGAATGCGGCGGGCAGCAGCAGGGCGACGGTGAGACGGTGCTCCGCCCCTCCGCTGACGGGCGGTACGGCACGGGACACGGGTTCGGCTACGAGGTACACGAAGAGGAGGGCGGTGTTACGCCCGGCGGAGTCGGCAACAACTTTGCGACGCTCGTGAACCAGCTGCCCTCGCGCGACATGGCGGTGACCCTGCTGGGAATGTACTGGCGCCACTATGCGTGGTCGCACGACGTGGTCCCGCACGACGAGCTCGCGCGCCTCCTCGAGGGCTTCTACAACTCTCCCCCCACGCCAATCTGGACGGACACGACGCACCCGCACCGCCTAGCGCTGCTCTACGCCGTGCTGGGCATGGGCGGTATGTTTGCGCCCAAGATCGACCCGCCAGTGCAGCACGAGCGCTACTTCCGTCTCGCGGGCGAGTGTCTGCGTGTGACGACGAGCCACACGGTCGCCGCCGCGCAGTGCCTGCACATCCTCATCAACTACAGCCTGTACAGCGACCCATCGGAGGGCGCGCGGCAGTGCAGCCCCGTGTTTGGCGAGACGATGCGGATCATGCAGAGCATGGGTCTGCATCGCGGACGATCCCTCGAGGCCCCCAACGTCTTCTGGGAGGTCCTCGTTGAGGACGCCATTCTCGCGCACGTCCAGGGACGCCCCGGTGGTCTTCCCCTCAAGCAGTTCGACGTCCCTATGCCCCAGGACAGCGAGTTCAACAAGTGCAAGTTTGGCTTTGCCAAGTTGGCTAATGAGTGAGTACATTGTGAGAGCGAGTGAGAGCGAGCGAGCAGAGAGCGCTTCGAGGTGAACGGCGAGCACGGGCGTCATGATGGCGAGCTCTCAATGAGCGAGCTGGGGATTGCACCCCAGTCCTATGGGTGCGGGGCAGCGAGCCACTCCCGGCGGCAGTGACGATGCTGCGCAGCTGCGTATCCAGCTGCGTAGGTCAACTCCCACGCCTCATTCATACCGGGTGATACCGCATCTTCGTTCCCCATTCCCCCACTTCGACCCAAGATCCGGCGGCTCCTCGCATGAATGTCGGATGTACGTTCCATTTGAGAGTGCATGGAAGTGCCCGTGTTTCCTGCAGTGACCTAAGCTCTGAGGCTTGGCACGGCTAGAAGAAGCATAGGGACGAACGGCTCGCTTGCAAACACAACTGCCGCCGGTCGCATGGTCGCAGCGGCAGTAAGCAGCCCCCTGCCGCCGGTCCGGAGGGGCGTTAAGGCGGGTGTGGTTGCGGGTTTGGCTCCGCGACCGGACATGTGTCGAATCAGAGTGGGGGAAACATGGCTCTCCAGGCCGAGAGTTTTGGCGCCGCGCTGCTTTACCGCCGGACTTAACAAGTTCGGGCTTGTTGTCGGGGATCACAATGTGTCGGGAACATGTCGCGAGTCCCGACCGAAACGCCCGAATACCTCGCAAGCGAGCTCAGGTTTTGTCGTCGCAACTCAACTTGAGTTGTGGCAGAACTCGATCTAGGAATCGATCGAGTTCCTGATTCCTTGTGTGACGTTCGAGTCTGGGTTGGATGACTCGGGGCTCGGTGTCGTCGATCGTCGAGGCCGATGTCACGGACCGATGAGTCGGGCCTCGTGGCCTCGTGGCCTCGTGGCGCTCGGTGTTCTCGTTCAGGCCCCATTGCTGCCCGCTCACTATGCTCGCTGCTCCAACCCCCCATGACAAGCGCAAAGCTAACGGCGCAGGGCTCTCCAAATCACAATGTCCGGCGCCAAGGTGCCGCACGACGAAGTATGGCCGATCTACGAGCGTCTCATCGACTTCGAGGCCGTGATGCCGTTCAACTTCAAGTGTCGCGCAAGCGTGGTCGCGGGCGGAAACCCCGAGAACACGGCTCCGGCCGTGGACCCGGAGAACGCTCCGTTGACATTACAGCAGCACGCGCTGGCGAGCGCGATGAGCGCGGTCATCCTCTCGATCCTTAGGCCATACACAGACCAGGCGACTGCGTTCTCGGCCCTGTTGCGCAGGTGCAACATGATGATTGCGACGTCGCTGAGTCTGTTCTCCGTCATGCCCGAAGTGGCAAAGACACACTGGTTCATGCGGTACTATGCCACCATTGCTGCGGTCACACTCACGTCCGTGGCTATCACCGCACCCAAGTCCCCCCTCGCGCGCGCGACCATGATCCAGGTCCAGGCTGTTTGTGACCTGCTCCAGAACCTGGGCGATCCGGCCTTTGTCCTCCTCGACCACCTCAGGCAATTGGCGATTGCAAACGTGTATGGCGCACCTCAGGCCAGGCTCGTGCTCGAGGTCGGCGAAAAGTCGCGCGGCAGGAAGGGGTCGGGCCATGGACGTCTGTGTTTGGCATTCCGTCACGGACCAAGAGCAGTCCAGGGGACGCGGCGTTCGATGCGCTGCGCGCTGCTTGGCCGGCTGACTGTGGGCATGATCGGACGGGTATCGACTGGCCGACTATTGCCAAGAGCCTCGCTATTGATCTGGTCTGAGCTGAAGGGCGGAGGAGGGCGAGAAGGGTTGAGGATGTAGCTAAAAGTACACACGTACACACACCGTACTCACACCATACAAGATACGGGACGACCTGCACGGACGATGTAATGAAACCAGAGATGTATGAAGTATTGCACGATACCCATCAGTCTGAGTGTGGCTCACCAGATGCGGCAACTAACTCGAGCATAAGACGGATTCGTTCGCAATTCACAAACGCTACCTGAATCCGTCATTTATCTGACTGTCGCTCGCCACTCTGCTCGCTCTGCCTGCCTCTTCGCCTCGCCTCAGCCGCCTCGCGGCGTACTCTTCGTGCAGCTCGCCTCACCCAGCTTCAGCCGCTGTGCGCGGCTGCGGCAGTAGGCTGCTCGGTGGCCCAAACCCAAACATGACATCCAGTCTAGCTAAGTCTACACGTGCAACTTGTCAGTGTCCTCTGCGAGCTCGTCGTCGAGGGCGCCAGCAGCCGCAGCAAAGGAGAAGCCCTTGTTCTCCTTCTTGAGGCCAGACGACTTGGGTGCGCTGTCTTCGTTGTTGTTCTGGTGGGCGGGGGCAGCCCGTGTTCCCTTGGCGGGGACGGCCTCGAAGCCGTCCTCGTCCTCCTTGGCCTCCTTGGGCTCCTTGGGGGGCAGGCGGGAGGGGTGGACGCGGACGGGGCGGCGCTCACGCGCCTCCTGGTGCTCGCGCTCGCGGCGCTCCTTGGCCGCCTGCTTGGCCTTCTCGGCGTCCTCGCGCTGCTTGTGCGCCGCCGCCTGGCGCGCCGCGAGGCGCTCCTCTGCCTCGCGCTCGCGCGCCAGCGTGTCAACGGGACGCGCCGCGCCGAACGGAGACGCACCGCTGCTCGTCGACGAGGCTCCCGACGCACCGCCCTCGGCCTTCTCGCTACGCGCAAGCAGGTTCAGGCGCGGGCGCTGCGGCTCGGCCGGCGCAGGCGGCGTCGCAACACGCGTACCGCGCGACCACGTGCTCTCCGTGTCCGCGGGACCGGCGGGGCGGTG